TTACAGGACATGTCCAAGAGCTGGGACACAAAAGTTCAAGAACACTCTGATCTCCAGAGGAAGGTCCCCACAGCCAGCCAAATTTATTGAACATGTGAGCAACATGGTGTGGGCAGAAAAGTCGACGAGTCAACAAGGCATGTAGCGTCCCCCCAGTTGCCCCTACTTTCTTTCTGTGTCCTGATGGAAAATCACAGAAGGCCTTGACTGCTCTGTGACCCAGCCAGCTGCAGTTTTTCCCAGTAGGCTCGAACCAAAACTAGGGCCTTGAACATTCGCAGGCACTGATAAAGGTATCTAGGTTGTTGCCCCGAACGCTGAAAGAAACTGGCCCCTGCCTTGAGCCAAATTCCTTAAACCGTCATGTAAACTCCATACCTGACCCCCTCACTGTGGACATACCTAGGTAGAACAGCCCTTTTCTATAGCCTGGAGGGTGCACTGCAGCCCACTCTGTAAGTTCCACTAACGTGTGCTTTGAACTAATCACTCTGCTGTTCAGTGCTTCTTTCTTTGGAATCCAACTGGCCCCATCTGGGGACTGTTCGGGGCACTCCCTTGTGAGAATTCCCTTACTGCTGGTTTGGGGTGGCTCCCAACAGCAGGAGTGGGTTTGGCTGGATAGAACAACAACTGAAAAATAAATCATAAATCTTCACACACCATCCCCCCAGCTCATAACCCATTCAGCCTCCCCAAAGACATGTGTCCATTTCCATTGTCTGTTTCCAGCCAGAGTGGAACAGTCCCATGTTCCTCCTACACCTCCTTGCATTTGGATGGGACAGGGAGGACTCTGGGCTTGGCTGCTGTGGCCACCACACCAGGCTCTGCAAGGTCTGCAGGACTCTTGCCAGCTCCAGGTGGACACTATTCCCTGAGATGCTGTTATCCCACCTGGACCGCAGCCTGTGAAGGCCACAGGAGGCAATCTGGGACCTGTGTGGCATCGCTGGGTGTGGACATACAATGCCCAGAAGCAGCAGCAGCAAAGCTCCATCACTTTAGTGCTGGAAGGCAAGTCAGGTAGCAACTTGTTTACAGATGAAGAAACTGAGACCCAAAGAAGGGCCAGGCAGAGCCAGGACCCAAAGGCAGGTGTTCAGACTTCAGCTTCTGAGTGACAGGACCCCCCCATACCATCCCTCTTCTCCCAGAGCTCCACGATGAGGTGAGGGTGGGTCTCTTTCAGGGCTTGGTAGAGCCGATCTTTGCAGGCCTGGTCCCAGGACTGGCTGAAGCTGAACAGCTTTCGCATCTGGCCCGGCCTGGTGGCCTCAGCCTGCACCCCCTCATACTGCTCCTCGCTGAGCACCTGTCCATGCAGCTTGTCCAAGACAGGGTCCACTGATGTCACTCGTGCCACCAGCTGCTCTCGATACTGGTCCACGAAGTGCAGCAAGGCTGGGGTGTCCGGGAATGAAGATGAGGCTGGCAATGAACAAAGAAGGGCTCCCACCATATACTCCACCTCCAGCCCCCACGTCCAGCCCTTTTCTCTTTCTCCGCTTCATCCCTGGCTTCCTTCTCCCTCTGGAAAGGTATCTGACCATCAGAAAGGCATCTCTGCCCTCCCTCATGTCAGCTTCTAGCCTGGTATTCTACCCAAGTGGGGCATGGTAGCGGGGTTCATGATAGGGGTATTTGAGGTTGTTAAGTGGGGGGTTCCTTCTGTGGGCAGGAACTAGGGGGGATGGGGAGAGGGACTCTGCCCTGGGACATGTGCCACTCTCTAGGTCTTGATCCTTGTGAGCTTTGCAATGATAGAGTCCCTTCTGCTCTCTCTTCCCTCCTCTCCATGACTAGATAGTACACCCCAGAACTCTCACTGGCTCCTGTGGTCCCTAAGAGCTATTACTGACCTATGGGGGCTGGAGAGGCCAGAGTAGCTGCAGGTCTGAGATCTCCTGGAGGAAAACAGAGATAAATAAGCATCTGTTGCAGTAGTAGTTACTAACACACATGATATACCTCCAAGCTCCCACTCACTTCTGAGATTCTTTGATTCAGAATCTCTTTTATGCATATGGGGAAACTGAGGCACAGAGGCTATGAACATAGACCAATAGAGAGAAGTCATCTGAATGAGCAGTAGCAATTTCTCCCACACATTGCAGACTCTGCTTTAGCCATTGTTTCCCTGAACTGAATCCCTGGTGGAGAACTAATCAAATCCCTTGCTAGGCAAAGCTTTAACTATTTGACACCTCCTTATTCCGAGTAGAAATCTACTTCCATGTCCTTGTTTGGCCTTGTAGACTGGCACAGATCAAACGTGTATTTTGGATTTGGATGTCAGAATCAAAAATCAAGATCAAGCAATCTTAGCACATGGAAAGAATGAGTGAATTTGAATAGGAAAAGCAAATAACAAGAAAAAAAAAAAA